TTAATTTACGGCTTATTCTGCGTGCAGCCGGAAATAAAATATACACGTAATTAAAATTATATGTGATTATTTAATATTATGAAGCCAAACTATTAATTTCCAATCATTATTTTTAATTCAAAATTAAAAAATTTTTGATATACTGAACTTGTCACATGATCGATAATTATTACAGAATTTTTTAACTGACCGATTTTACAATTTTCGATAAAACATTTTCGATATATTTTCGGTACATTTTAAATAAAAAATTTTTTTATTAAACTTCCAAAACTTTCAGGTTGGATGGTCATTTATATAAGTATAAATTTCTCGACAATTGATAATTTTGAGATAAAATTAAAGAGAATCAACATATTGAAATTGAAATGCTATATGAGCAACATATACTCCTTTATTTTCAATCTTTCCTCCACCTCCATTAATTCCTGACAATCTAAATTCATTATGATTTCCAAATGGGCCAATTTGCAAAGTATCGGTTATTGGAACATGTGGTATCCCTAAAGGTCCCGTAGATTTACCATCATTAAAAGTAAATTCTATAACAGTAAGTAGTCCACGACCAAACTTCAGATTGATAGCAACGATATATTTTAAATGATTACCTAGCTCTGAAATTATACATTCATTTTCACCTGCTGTTCCACCTATTTTTTTTCCAGCTCTAGAACTTCGATCTTTTCTATCATCTTTATAGTAAGCTTGAATAGAATCAATTAAACTACCATGCCTTATTATAATTTTTGTGATAAGGCCAGGATCATCCTCAGATATATTGTAAAGAAATCTATAATTATCTTCTAAATTATGTGAACCATCAGGAAACGTATCAATTCCGTATGGTCCAACCCAAAAACTTTTTATATTAAAAGGCCAAGGTATTCTAGGAAAGAATTTGACTAATGAAAAGACGTGTAAAAATATTTTCATAAATTCTGCCTTGGCTTCATTAAACATTCTTAACTTGACAAGATCAAAGATTTTTAAAAAAATTTGATCATTTGAAGATTTTGCAACATAATTAACTAGTTTGTTGCTAATTTTATCTCTGACTTCTCCGTTAGCATGAAAACTAAAAAGTGATGATGAAGTTAAATCATTAGAAATCGAGGTTTTCGTAGTTATTTGATCTATCCTCCACGTAAAGAATTGATGAAACGAATCCGAAAAATAGTTTTGATAAAGAGAAATAGTATTTTTCACATCTGATTCGTAAAAATGTGAAAAAAAAAGATAACGCGTCGTTTTTAAGTATTCTCTCAAGACGGTAAGATGTACGATCGCAAAAGTAATAGTGAAAGGGATTAGGTGAAAGTTTTTTTCACTTTTCAAAAGATTTTCGAAAAATAAATCGCACTTTTTAACAAGGTTTGAGAAAAGGTCTCGTTTTTGAGTAACCAAATATTCTAAAAGTAGCTCTTTAATAGGTTTGAAATTTTTGATTTGTTGATCCATTTCTGTATCAATGATTTCTTGACTTATAATAAGTTTCACCCTATCTTTGATTCGAGTGAATATATCCTCTCGTTTCGTAATCTTTTCTTCGTCATTTTCTAAAAAGAATGAAATGACTAGGATTGATAATAAAGATAAATTTGAGAATACCTTATTTGTTGAAATGGATTTGTTAGCATTTTTGTTATGAAGAACGGATATAAAATCATCGATTCGTTCGTCCCACGAATAATCGTTGTCCATTTTTTATTTAAAAAGATATTTGTAGTGTTACACGAATTCGATTGAATTTATTTTTAAATAAATCTTATTATTTTGTTCTTTTTTAAATTTTTAATAAAAAATTGCATTTCATTTAAGCGTTCTGTAAATGATTAGAAATAAATGATTGTTCTTCGACGATACGTGAGATTGTTGTTCGATAAAATGAAGCGCATGATATTAACAAAACGTGAAAATGATGGGTTATTTATTTCAATCAGAAACAATACTAAACTTTTTTCCATTGTTTTGAATGATGATCATCTTAAAAAAAAAAAATTTTTTTTTTTTAAAACAAAATGTCCCCCCCAAAATCAACCATTAACTGTTCCTAAATTCGAAGAATTGGATTCCTCTTATTATTATTATTATAATAAATCCGACCTCAAAACTTCATTTCAAACTTCTTTAATCAATCAAACTATTGAAGTTTGAATTATAATAAATTTTTACATATTTTTTTCCGGCCCGTGCTAAATTTAACCGGTTTTCAAAAATATGAAATCGTGTTTGTAGGTATCTTTTTTTTTTTTAAATTAACGATGCAGTACTGCGATAAGTTTATTAGATTCAAAACGAACACGTACAATCAAGATACAGCATCCAAGAAAACAACAACTAAATTATCGCTACCCCGTTGCTATATTCCAAACCCGTTTGAGTCGGCTGCCATCGTCACCCCCCGGTAGGCCCGCATGGAAAATGAGTTCTACCATCAACAAGGGGGAGGAGAAAATGCATGTCAGCAATACATCATCAATCTCTAATACACAAAGGATTCCATCTAAAAATCTAACCAAGCACAAAAAGAAGAACGCTGACACCCTTCACATAAAATCCTTATTCGTAGACCTTAAAAAAATTATTTTATCTGGGGAAATCCAAAGGGGCCAAAACTGTAAAACCTAAAAAAAAGAAAGCGAGTAAGTAACATCCAAATCAACAAGAGGAAAGGAAGGGGGAAATCTCTTCTGTGCTTGGCTGCCCTTTTTCCTCACAATCTGCAGACAAAGATAGTGTTGATAGCAAGGATATCTTCGGACAGCTCATGTTCGTCATTTATTGAATCGTCGAGAACCACGAGTTTTGTAAAGTTGAGCGAGAACACGTACTTGAGGAGTTGGTAGGCGAACCTGTATAATCAGTCACGGTGGGTAGCCACAATCTCTCTGACAAAACCTTTGCACGATTGTTCCAGTAGGGTTTGTAGTCCTTTTCGTTTGAAGTTGATTCTGATCAATATCACTGATGAGTTCATAGGTTGTAAATCGGAAGCTGAGGAGTTGTTTCTGCTGTTCAAGGTTTTTTTTTGCTTGACACTAGATACCTGAGTGTGGAGGAACCCTTTTTTGGTAGTGGTGGTGGTGGCGGTGGTGTTGGCGTTATCGGCATTTTGGGAAGTCAACTCTGGAAGAATAGAAGATATCTTGTAAAGATGAGTACCAGAAAGAGACTTTATAGCAGTGATTTTTCCTTACTTTAGCCATGGTGCATGACGAGATTCCAAGTTTCCTAGTTGCTTTGTGTGCAGATTTATACTTAAAGAAAAGAAAAGAAAGGAGTGGTTAGTTTACAGTTTACGATTTTTGAATCTTTTTATATTGATAAATTGATAAGCATTACTAAGCAGATGTTACCATTGTAAATTACTAAGTAAAAATTTACTACGGTAAAGTTTAATTAACAAAATTAGAAAAATTCCATAAGTGTTGTCCAGGTGATACGATTTGTTTCGTAACAACCAACATTATGGTACTTTGTAGAATACATAACTGCGTAAATAATTACAACCTTTAAATTTATAAATTTTCCCTTACATTACAGAAATATACATTAAAAAAAAAAAAAAAAAATTTAAAAATTTATATTTTAATAAATTTGACGGATCTATTATTTTAAAAGCATTAATACGTAATTTCCTAGTAACAAGCTATTTTTCTGCAAAATGTAAAGACATGTTACGTCACTACTTATCAGTTAATTGGCTGATTCTAAATCACCCAGCTATTGATTTGTTGTATATTATACCATCTTCATCAATTTTTCTAAATAACAATATGTCGTGTCGAATATAATAATTATTCAAAAAAAATTCGCGTTCAAGCTGATCTTGCAAATTTTTATTGATCGCTGATTACCCGTATTTATAATCGGTCATCTTACAGTAACATAAGCAAATAAAGGAATACACTCAAGAATTTAATTAATTTTGCCTTTATAAATACAGACAATACATTTTAATATATACAATAATGATCGTTCACAAAAAAAAAACGCTTTTTACCGTATGAACTTATCTTAATGGATCCCTAGAAGAGCGTGATTTACAGACACAACTCAAGATTATTTTTCTTCAATTAAGAATCAGAAGATTATATTTATATATTTATGTGATTTATTGCAACAAGATATGAGTCCTACTCATTTTTATTTTTTTTCCGGCAGTTTACCCTTTTCATTGCAAAGGACGTAAACATTATTATAAATCTCAGAGTGATTATCGAAACACAAATTTCTCATCTACTCATTCTTCACGAAAAATGCAAAGAAAATTAATTCACATTTTTGATATATTGTGAATAAAAAAATTTGTATGCGTGTTTCGTTCTCATGTTAATCTCGTCAGAACTAACTTTAAATCCGCGTCATTCAATTATGACTTTAACAAGTTTTCTTTCGATTATTTTTTTTTAGTATGAGCAATATCGATTTTAAAAATTATAGTCACACTAAAGTTATAAATTTTATATTTATTTTGTCTTTCAGTCCTTACTTTTAACATAGTAGTCATCCATATGGTCCAATAGGCGAAGGTAGGAAGGTGAAGTGTATAGAATAAGGAGAAAGGAAGAAAAGCCAAATTCTGAAAGAATAGAAGAGGTAAGAAGAAGGAGGGGAAGGTCGTCTTGGCGCGACGTCAGCACAAACAGTTCCATGAACGCGAACCTATCGATCATCCTTTCTATAAAAATTTTTTTTAAAAAAAAAATAAAAATAAAAATATATACCGAAATTTGGAATAAGTTGAAATCAGTTGAAAGATATATTCCAAGAATTGGATTAAAAAAAAATATACACTGTGCTTATTAATAATTATTATTTTCATATATTTTGTAGAGATGAAAACGAAATTTCATAGGCAATTGCAAAAAAAAAAAAAAAAAAAAAAATTTAAGAAAACAATTTATTATCTGAATGATATTTGACATTACGAAATTTAAAAAATTTAATAACTTTTTAAGTAAGTACAAAATATGCGGGATTTCAAAATTCGGGAGTAAGACCGAGAATTTTTTTTACCTTTTTCCAAGAAATAATAAAATAAATCAAACAAAATGCTTCTAAAATTCTCGGCGCTCTTAAATTTAATAAGAGAGCAAAGAACCAAACATTTTTTTTTTTGGAAAGAGTTTGTTAATAAATTCTTCCTATATTAAAATATAAATTTGCTTTACGAGTCATATATTTAATTATAAATTGGAATCGGACTAAATTGGAAAAATAATAAGTTAACAAATATAATATATACGTAATTGATAAGTTGTTTGCTTAATCAGTAAGGTCGCATGAATACACTGTTACTACTAGCAATTAGAAGCTAGGTCGACGAAAAAAAAAATTTTAATAAATTATCAATCGAGAGTTTATTGTCGGTTCTTTTCTAAATAAACTCACTTTAATTTATTCAGCAGATTCAGGTAAATAATCTTGGTTTGCTGAGAAAAAGTCACAAATTGATATTGAAACGAGACAAAAATGGTTATAACAGAAGGTTAACGTTATTGACTGGCGCAGTAAATATTCATCGCATAGTCACGTGAAAAGGACCAGAGCCATATTGGACTTCGCACACTATTCCAAATGAATATATTTACTGTATTTGTATTAAACATGACACCGGCGATATAAAGCAATTCCTAATTATGGATTTTATTTTATTAGCTCTTTAATATCGAGAACTTTTTGTCTCTCATTTTTTAAAGGTAAATAAAAAAAAATGTTACAAATATTTAAGATCTCAGTGCTTGTGAATTGAGCTTTAGCGATTTTAGCAAATTTGTTTTAAGCAGAAAACTACATCAATTATAAACTCTCCCAATTAATTCAAGAAAGATTTGAAATGGTTGCTTTGATTCAAAATTGATTACTCCTGTTTAAAGGACATTAATTCTATCAGACTTATCACCATACCGATCATAAAATAAATCCTATTTATATATTTGATTCGACAAAATAAAAGATATTTATTTATATTTGTAAAATAAAAGAAAGAAACAAGAAAGAAAAGAAACGTAATTATCCCAAACAAAGCTAGTATATTATATATAATCTTCATATTCAAATTCTTCGGTTTCAAATTTCTTGATAATTCCTAACTTTTTATACTTTGTAATGGTTGTTTTCATACAAATATCGATCTTCTCCTCACTTTCTGCCAAACTACCAATATTACTAATCATCATTAACGGTAATCGAGGTGTTCGATTTCCCCAACTTGAAAAGAAAGATTCCAAATCTTCGGGAAATGTTCTACTATAAACCCTTAATTCATGAAAACGTTTTGGGGAATACTTTACGACAGCCTCAAACATTTCCCTTTCATCTAGATAAGGACAACCACACCAAACTTTAATACCCTCTAAATGTTGACAACTACCAAGTATACTTTTAAAGATATCCATTTCATCATTTTCAAACATCATGTTAAGCTTTTTAAGATTTGGACAAAGTTGAGCTATGGATAATTTTAATGAATTGTCAATCCCACCTAAATCCAATTCATAAAGGTTCATTCCATTGATCTCTAAAAGTTTCGTTAAAGTCTCGGTACTTGGACATTGAAAAGGAATTCTTAAAATTCGCAAGTTTGGATAATTCGCACGTTGTAATTCATATGACACCTTTGAATAAACTTGACTAGTTCTAAAGCAAGAAATGATCAATTCTTGTAAATTTGTGAATACGGTAACGATTGATAATGGCATCTCTACACGAAACGCATCTATTTGAAGACTTGTTAACGTATCACGATGCTTTGTTATCGCGGGTATGATATCCGTCCAGCCTTTTTCTCCACATTTACCAGCAGATAATTTCAAATATTTCAAATTCTTTTGAAAAGAAATCAACTCTTTTAATCCATCTGAAATATTGTTCCTAAAATTTATGGTCAGTGACCGTATCCTTTGACATATTGAAGCTAGTTGATAAAAAAATTCCGGACAAATATCTGAATAACAACTAAATACTGTTAGGTTTGTTAAACAATCCTTCGCCCCGGGGAAGAGAGTAAATTGTATATTTGGAGCTAATGTCGCATAATTATACAGGACTTTTAATGATGGAATTTGACACATGAAAGCTCTTAATAACTCTTGTGACACCAGAAATTTATGATATTTTAAAATAAGCAAGTCGCCATTAAAACGTTGATGTTTTAACACCTTTTCAATGATGTGATCTAATGCGTGAATTGAAAGAACTTTGATATATGATATATAATTTATCAAAGGAGGTTTCGAAGTTGGATTTGAAATAATAATATTATTCGATATTAAAAGCTCTTTAGATTCATTAGGTAGACAAGAAATCAAGGTACCAAGTATTGATAATGATTCATGTATCTGAGTTCGTTCCTTCCAAACATTCCTCCATAAAATCCTAACTGCAACTCCACACCAAAGGTGATTAACAAGTAAGGATGAACGTAAAGAGAATTTATCTTCTTTTAAGAATCCAAAGATATCATTTAAACAGTCTTCAGGAAGTGGACAACTCATTTTTCATTTTTTTTTTTTTATAAAAAAAAAAAAAAAAAAGGATTTAGGAATTTGAATATTGAGTTATTCCATTTTTATTCATCTTATTACCCTTATTTTGACTTTTGGCGTTTAGGTGTATTTTGTGTATCCTGTGTAACATTGTTTGGAGTAATGATCATTTGCGGAAATTTTATAAAAAAAGTATTTTCAAATTTTTATTGAACACGTGACGTTGGGTGTTCCATCAACTAATTAAATCAAAATTACGCACGGTATCATATAAAAGTTTATTATGAGATTTTACGGCATTACGGCATTAAACTATAGTACTTTAATTAATAAATTTCCTATTAAAATTGGCATATTTTCGTGCTCCCATAGCTGGATTCTTTTATTATCTTCGTTTCTAATTTCGCAAAAAAATACAAAATAACTGTTAACATCTTTCTTTTTTTTTTTTAAAAAAAAAAAAAAAGATCGTTCACACTAGGGTTAATTTCCAAGTTGTTTTTCAATAGTAAAAGATTTTTTTCTTCAGTTTTATTCAAAAAATCGAGGCGTCATGTTATTCTTTAAGTCATTGTGTTTATTTATATTTGTATTTCGTCTAAATATTAATCAAACGAAAGTTATCGAATTTTTAAAATTTAGGGTTTTCTACCGGGAAATGCCCTATTTCAAAACGCATGAAATACAAACTCAGAAATTAATTATTTAAATATAATTGAAATTAAATAATTATATAAATTACGTCAATTACGAGTTAATGTTAAAATAGGATTAGGGTTAGAGTTAGAGAAATATCATGTTTTTATAAACACCAATGATGAGATTAGGGTTTAAGTTTTAGTTAGGGTTGGATTATTTATAAAAAAAAATCAACAAATTCTATTATTTGTTTTAAATTTTCTTTGTTATAGATATGCTAAAATTTTAAATAATTAAGTTTCAGACGTCATGTTAGCGAACCCTGGGGCATCGCAAGGGTAAAACCGTTAGTTTTATATTTATCGCGCGAAAATCCACTCCATATAGTTACACTCCCCTCCAAAAATATCCGACCACTTGCCGATCATTTACCGATCATTTGAAATTATAGCTGATTTCGACGTTTATTACTTAACAA